GTCACACACACATCCTCCCCAGGCAGCAGGCCCAGGAGCAAAGACTGGACCCGTGACACACACATCCTCCCCAGGCAGCAGGCCCAGGAGCAAGGACTGGACCCGTGACACACACACCCTCTCCAGGCAGCAGGCCCAGGAGCAAGGACTGGACCCGTGACACACACACCCTCTCCAGGTAGCAGGCCTAGGAGCAAGGACTGGACCCGTGACACACACACCCTCTCCAGGTAGCAGGCCTAGGAGCAAGGACTGGACCCGTGACACACACACCCTCTCCAGGTAGCAGGCCTAGGAGCAAGGACTGGACCCGTGACACACACACCCTCTCCAGGTAGCAGGCCTAGGAGCAAGGACTGGACCCGTGACACACACACCCTCTCCAGGTAGCAGGCCTAGGAGCAAGGACTGGACCCGTGACACACACACCCTCTCCAGGTAGCAGGCCTAGGAGCAAGGACTGGACCCGTGACACACACACCCTCTCCAGGTAGCAGGCCTAGGAGCAAGGACTGGACCCGTGACACACACACCCTCTCCAGGTAGCAGGCCTAGGAGCAAGGACTGGACCCGTGACACACACACCCTCTCCAGGTAGCAGGCCTAGGAGCAAGGACTGGACCCGTGACACACACACCCTCTCCAGGTAGCAGGCCTAGGAGCAAGGACTGGACCCGTGACACACACACCCTCTCCAGGTAGCAGGCCTAGGAGCAAGGACTGGACCCGTGACACACACACCCTCTCCAGGTAGCAGGCCTAGGAGCAAGGACTGGACCCGTGACACACACACCCTCTCCAGGTAGCAGGCCTAGGAGCAAGGACTGGACCCGTGACACACACACCCTCTCCAGGTAGCAGGCCTAGGAGCAAGGACTGGACCCGTGACACACACACCCTCTCCAGGTAGCAGGCCTAGGAGCAAGGACTGGACCCGTGACACACACACCCTCTCCAGGTAGCAGGCCTAGGAGCAAGGACTGGACCCGTGACACACACACCCTCTCCAGGTAGCAGGCCTAGGAGCAAGGACTGGACCCGTGACACACACACCCTCTCCAGGTAGCAGGCCTAGGAGCAAGGACTGGACCCGTGACACACACACCCTCTCCAGGTAGCAGGCCTAGGAGCAAGGACTGGACCCGTGACACACACACCCTCTCCAGGTAGCAGGCCTAGGAGCAAGGACTGGACCCGTGACACACACACCCTCTCCAGGTAGCAGGCCTAGGAGCAAGGACTGGACCCGTGACACACACACCCTCTCCAGGTAGCAGGCCTAGGAGCAAGGACTGGACCCGTGACACACACACCCTCTCCAGGTAGCAGGCCTAGGAGCAAGGACTGGACCCGTGACACACACACCCTCTCCAGGTAGCAGGCCTAGGAGCAAGGACTGGACCCGTGACACACACACCCTCTCCAGGTAGCAGGCCTAGGAGCAAGGACTGGACCCGTGACACACACACCCTCTCCAGGTAGCAGGCCTAGGAGCAAGGACTGGACCCGTGACACACACACCCTCTCCAGGTAGCAGGCCTAGGAGCAAGGACTGGACCCGTGACACACACACCCTCTCCAGGTAGCAGGCCTAGGAGCAAGGACTGGACCCGTGACACACACACCCTCTCCAGGTAGCAGGCCTAGGAGCAAGGACTGGACCCGTGACACACACACCCTCTCCAGGTAGCAGGCCTAGGAGCAAGGACTGGACCCGTGACACACACACCCTCTCCAGGTAGCAGGCCTAGGAGCAAGGACTGGACCCGTGACACACACATCCTCCCCAGGTAGCAGGCCCAGGAGCAAGGACTGCACCCGTCACACACACATCCTCTCCGGCAGCAGGCCTGGGAGGGAAGGAAGCTTGGCGCCTTCTAGAAGCTCTGTCCAAATGTTTATAAGCGCTCAGTGATTGGCCGAAGGCAGAATAATACTCATAACCCAAAACATTGTGTCTTCTAACTCTACTGGAGAACACACCCCAGAAGCAAACAGGGAAACCCAACACAGACCACATGATCAAAGCTCAGGCCGTCTACAGCCTAGGAGCACACACTCCATGTGGACGAGGGACACTCCATCCTAATGCAACGTCACCTCACTCTCTGTCACATGGAGAAGGCAACATCTGAGAGGTTCCCATTGTTACTGCCCTATGAAGGAGTCCTTTTAGGGACTATTTGCCCTCTCCATGTGACTTATAAAGAGCTCATTATGAGCCTGTTGGTGGGATGGTAAAGCTACCCCCCCCCCCCCCCCCCCCCCCCCTCTCCGCCGCCTTCAC